GATGTGATAGAAATGCGACACTTACGCAGATCGATGTTAAGCACCAGGATGAGGAGCAACTCGTTTGGGTTTCACTAAATGGTCCATCAAATATCAATCAGTAACAATACATGGCACATATACAATAACTGATATTCTATTCCGAAGACGTTGCTGCATCTGTTTATGATCAAACCGTATCCAGGGCTGCGGATCATCGACATGGGGCGCTTCTCAGAAGGCATTCTTAGTGCCACTTGTGCAGCTACAATACAACTCCAATTCAAATCTACTTCAGGCTTTGACTAGGCTCAACTCAACTATCGTGGGGCTGGGTTAACCAGAAGACTTGGAGTTCGTTTGTTATTGTTAGCGATCTCATCATTTGCACCTCTGGCCATGAATGTGATCCTTGGCTTGTTACCCAGGATGCATTTAATCCAGCCACGCCTGAAATCCGCCTCGAAGCTACCAAGTAAGCCTGAGCCGACGTCATGTACCGATACAGAATTGACTTTGGCACTGCAGACACTGGGAGAGCTCAGAACCGAGCTCCAGTCTTAGGTCGGGATACCCGGAAGACATTCGAGATCTCCCTCACAAAAGCATTCGATCGCAATACAATCAGCTCCCCAGTCAAGGACCCAATCAGCGGGTCCAGGGCAGCCGAATTTCATGTAAACCGTATCGGCTGCGGTATTTTCGGTAGTCTTGTCTTCGGTCATATTGAAAGCTACGTCTGAAATGACGTTACTCAACTTGACATCTCTCTGGTCCCCAATGCCGTTCACACTGCCCTCAATCTTGAATTCCTCTTCTCTGGTCGTTATGAGAAAGGAGTGTATGGATTCCCCGACGTGAAAAAGACCTCTCGTTGCCAACATACCCCTGTCGTGTTGATGGAAGATCAACGACATTGCCGAAGTCGGTCCAACCGCTAAGATCCAGGCAGGATTCGAACCGGTCTCTGTTGATGGCAAGGTGAAACTCACTGCTGAGTGCTCTGTCTCAGTACCTGACGATTCGGCTGCTCGGGTCGATTCCCGATCTTCCGAGGTGGCTGGAATCCAAGGTTTGAGTCCCAGCCCCTGACTCTAGACGCAAAGATCTCCGCTATTGCCTAATTCCATTTGCAAATAGCTCCATCCTTTGACTTCATTATCGTCAGTAAGTGCTGCTAACCATACTTTCGGTACCAAATTAACCACTCTTAGGGTAAGGGCATATACATGCTGGTTTGCCTGTCTAATTCCCTTATGCTAAGGTTAATATTTTAGTTGCAAATGGTAAGCCATATAGTTTCCAGTATAGTTACCTGCAAGGGCCATCAGCTCAATTTAGCCACGCTTAAATGGATTTTGTCCCAGAAACCCAAGCCAGTATAGAGTTGAAGTACAGGCGACCCTTGGAACAAAGTTGTCAGCTGTCGACGTGGCAGAGAGATCAATTCTGGAGCTTGTCAAGCTGTCCGGAAAGTCTGACAAAAAGTAATTTCGGTCAAAGTTAAGCTATAATTAAAGTTTTGCCAGTTTGCTAAAATCCCCTATCTCCTGTCTAATAGCAAGATCTGTAAGAATCTCCTCGCTGCCCCCGCCAACAACCTATCTGCTGTTAGTTGTTCTGAACTTCTTATTGACTGCTGAGACAAGGGCGCACAGAGACTTACAAACATTCGAAGGTCGCGGCTGATTTGCTCCACCGTCGCCCCGCGGCCGCCCTTTTGATATCCTACGCCTCCAAAGACTTGCTGTGCTTCCCTGCATGCCAGTTCTAAAGTCTGCCCGCCTTGGATCTTGGCCAAGGCTATCTGACTTGCGATGTTTGGTGTCTGCCATCCCGCACTGGATGAATTGACCTGGAACGCAATCTGCTCAAGCCAAGCCCAGTGAGCTTCGATACGATGGGCAAGTTCAGCGAGTTTGCGCCCTATGACTTGATTCTCAATCAGCTTCTTCCCGAAGGTCTTACGCTCCAACGCATACGCAAACGCCATGGCGAGACATGTACGACTCTTTCGATTGCAACCAACCGCAAGTGCAAACCTTTCCTTGTTGAAATTCTTCATGATGATTCCAAAGCCCTCGTTCTCTAAACCGAGTCTGTTCTCAACCGGAACTTGGACATCTTCGAGATCTACAAAACTAGACCCTCCAGCATTTTGTCCGCTATTGAAGATCTTTCTCCGACATACGCCGGGACTGTCAAGGGGGATCACAAGGACTGTAAGGCCTTTGGCACCTTGACCACCAGTTCTTACAGCAGTAGTCATGTGAGTTGCCCATAGAGCGCCTGTAATCCACTTCTTGGCACCGTTCACAACGTAGAACTTGCCGTCTGGAGACTTTTCAGCCGTCGTTTGAATATTAGCCACGTCTGAGCCACCACCGGGCTCCGTAATGCCTAGGCAGAAATTCACACGTCCCGAAAACAGTCCTGGAAACCAACGAGACTTTTGTTCTTGGGTTCCATGATGGAGCACCGGCGGTAGTCCAATCGTAGACGCGCCCCCAAGGGCAATAGAGACTCCACCTTCAACACGAGCCATTTCATCAGTCGAAATGAGGAAATGAAAGGCATCTAACTCGTTTTGAGGGATTTCTGCTAGGTTGGGGATATCCTCAGGTCGAAACTGTTCTGGTACGTCCTCGAAAGGAATTCCAGATTTGCAGTAGCTTAGTGCAGCTGATCGTGGAACCTCGCCCTTTTGTTCCCATTCCAAGCTATGTGGAAGTATGTTTTTATCGACATATTTCCGTATATTGTCCCTGATCTTTCGATGGGATGCATTCAAGTAAACTGAGTTGCCACTTCGGTACCATGCAGGTTCGCTCCATGGTATATTTGCTTGTAGATACAGCTTGGGATCAGATGGCATTCTCGAAGATTCAGTCGCCATGTTTTTGTAATCCGAAAAGGAATACTTTAATTCAATTAAGGATAAAGTGGTAATTAAGAAAGCAGAAAGTAGCAACCTTTAGTTAGAAGGCTCTATTTCTTGCTATATAAATATAAGGGTTATGTTTTACTAAGTTAGGTTTACCATGTGGGAGATTGTGCGGGGTTGTTGCCTAAGCTTTGCCCCCTCTAACAGAAGATCTGCAAGTAAGGGTCTGATTACCGAGGTTGAGGCAGATTGCGCCAGGGTGCACTGTTAAAAGCCTCGGAAGAATTAGCGCCAGAGCTGGGCTCGTGTAATTCAGCAGCCTGTCGCCTATTTTCATCCGCTCTGAGGTGCTCAAACTTCTCCTCTGTGAGGCAACTACATCCGACGTCTCTCAACTACTTAGGGACAATTGACAATACTATTCACAGTGGATTGACGGTGCTCATATGCAATGGCAGAAGCCCAAGTTCCGCGAATCGTGTAAACAGTTAAAGAAGAACATGAGTGCTTGCCACGTTGAATGCCTTCTTGGCATCGATCCTCTGCAGGAAGCAGTTGCCGCGGGGTTGGACTCAACGCTTGACAAGGATGGCCTCATTCCAGCTGTCGGAACTCAGGACCCTACGAATGTGCAGTGATCCTTCTCGAGTCACTTCGGCGTCATCGTCAAACTGAATAGTCATTACTATCGGCGCTGCCTCGTCTGCGTCCGAAGACAATCCTTATCTGATGTGAGCAGAATTGACTATATTTAAAATATTTAAGAGAAATTCCAAGTCAGACATAGATAAAATGAGCAGTCGATGAAGTACTTTCGCTAGTAATGGGAACTATGCGTGATGACTATAATTATAACGCCGCTTTCCACGAAAATGAGATCGTTCTCCTCGACAAACAACCCGATTTTTTCCACGACCCTCCTGTGGGCCAATATCATATCGGGGTGTGCATTTCTATGTCAGTTGCAATTGAGAAGCAGCACAAGACTTGCTCATACCTATTTTGCTGTCTGTCATCTCTGTCGCGGGACCCATATCACGTCAGCCATTGCAACAGCCACTTTGATAACCAATTCAAGCAAGCCAGATGATATTTTTCGTTTCTTCCGCAAGGTAAAAAAGGTCCTGAAAAATGTAAACCCTAGCCAGATTACGCAAGTGCTCACAACCAGCAGATAGGTAGTTGCTTGAGATACATCCGCTGATTGAACGTGGGGATATTCAATGGTTTTCAAGGAGGTCATTCAAAAATACGTAGAAGAGAACACCGTAGACACTGATTTTCGCGTCCCTCAATAAGCTCGACCAATCTCACATATTCCCTCCATCCAGCACGAGGATTGCTTCCATCATGCCAGAAATCATCCTCTATACCGCCCACCATTATCCCTATACGCATCGCGCCCAAATTGCGCTGCGGTAACTTGGATTTTCATTCGAGGAGAAACTAATCAACATCACTGTGTCTCGGAAAAGCGAACCCCAATGGGACAGTCCCGGCTCTTTCATACGAAAGGACTCTTCTGATCTACCGCTTGCTTAGAGCACAGTTGCTGCTAGACTCGCATCATAACCATATGTCCAGACTGTCTGCAGTAAGCCAGTTGGTATCTTGGATTCCGAACAGGTGGTCATACCCATGCCCTTGACAGGAATTTATAATCAGGAAGGTTGGGTCAGTTTGCAGAGGTGCAATAATGTAACCAGAATACACTGTCCTAGCGACGCTACCCGAGCCCCACTTCCGGCTAACCCTACTACGTAGTGCATTAGTTGTTATGTTGTTTCGGCATTTTCGAATCTAATCACACGATAAGAAATTCCTCAACCTCTATCCCCAGACTTACCCCGCTTCTACACGCCACCACAGAATCCCCACAGTAATGTCAATATATCGGCCTTCCACCACCCAGAATCACAGACTCAAGGTATTATCAGTCAGACCCCACTTCAGGAGCTTTCGCACGTCCTGGGCCCTCGCCATGGGACTCTTCAGCTGCATGTCTGAGCAACGAGAGCTGCTAGTTTATGCTCTTATAGGCCTGTTCATCATCAATAAGCTAGTCATATACTTCAAGCTTCGTCAGTTTGGTGGCCCTCGTTGAACTGGCTTCAGTGATTGGCCTCATAGTTGGGCGATGCTACAAGACCGTTGCCATAAGCTGTATGAGCAAGCCAATCTAAAGCATGGTAGGTCACTGGGCGCCTGTTATTGAGATATTCTGTTAAACATATGTACTGATATGAGACAATTACCAGGTCCCATTGCCCGAGTAGCACCAAATATCCTAATTACGTCTTCTCCCGAACTTTGGATTCAGGTCAACAACAAGCCTGGCTACAAGCGCTCTGACTGGTACTATAATGCGTGCCGCATCGAGTATCGGAGAGACAATGTCTTTAGCCAGACAGATAACCAAAAGCATGAGCAGCGAAGGAAACAGATGGCCCCAGGGGTAAGTTAACAGGTTTGACCAATTTAAGAACAAAGCACTAACTCCAGTCTAGTACTCCGGGAGAGAAAACCCACATCTTGAAACTTCCGTTGATGAGCGAGTGCAAGAATTTGTTGATCTTATCCGCAACAAGTATCTTTCATCGGAAACTCAAGTCATCCCAATGGACCTCGCTCAAAAAGTCCAGTATTTGACGTTAGATGTCATCAGCGACATCGGATTTGGCAAGACATTCGGCATGGTGAAGAATGACTCGGATGTTGACGAGTATCTTAAATCAAGTGAGGAGGGTCTAGCTATTGGCAATATTGCTCTTGCTCTGGGGTTTAGCTGGCTTGCCCATGCCCCCGTTATCGGAAGGTTTATTGCGCCATCACCAAAAGACAATAACGGGTTCGGGAAGATGATTGCGGCATGCTACCGTGCCGTTGACGAGCGTGCAGCTAACCCCACTGATCAAAGATCCGATATGCTAGCCTCCTTCATCCGTCACGGTATATCGGGAGATGACCTACGGTCAGAAGCTCTGGAGCAGCTTATTGCGGGCGCTGACACAACGTCGACTGGTATTCGTGGAACCCTCTTGTACATCATGACCAATCCCCGAGTGTATCAGAAATTGCAGCGAGAGGTCGACGATGCTATCCTAGAGGGCAAGGCCCCAGGTCCTGGCAAGGGCATCATTACCCTTACACAAGCTAAGCAACTTCCTTATCTCCAGGCCGTTATACGCGAGGCTTTGCGACTATGGCCACCCGCTGTCAATATCTTTTCCCGTGACACGCCCCCAGGTGGCGACTCCGTCACCGTCAACGGTGAGAGTATATTCCTGCCGGGTGGTGTGTCTATCGGCTACTCGGCGTACGGGATGCACCATAGCAAAGAAGTGTACGGTAAAGACGCGAAGGTCTTCAGGCCCGAGCGGTGGCTCAGGTCTGATCCAGACAAGTTGGCTGCCATGCTCCGTACAAACGAATTGGTCTTTGGGCACGGCAGATTCCAGTGTTTGGGCAGACCCGTGGCTCAGCTTGAGCTAGGAAAGACTATATTCGAGGTATAGCTGAATTTCATTTTTTCTTTCATACCGGAAACCTATCACCAAGCAATGAGCTGACGTTTTCATAGCTATTGCGCAATTTTGATATGGCACTTATTAATCCGACCAAACCCTGGGACGCTCGAAATCATCTTGGCCTCTTTGCCATTTCCGATATGTGGGTACAAATAATGGAACGAAATCGATAATTTCTGGTGTCTCGAAGCGAGAAATTGTGATCATTAATGTTTGGTCTGGTAATCTTTGATCTACGGGTATAGTGGGCTTGGATCCAGCTGCTGCAAGTGTAAGCAGGTTATCACGACTTTGCTGGCTTCGGTCTGATCTTCCCTTATAGTATGAATGAATTGTATATTCGTCTGCATAGTGACTGTTTTCATATGACTGGACATGTTAAGTCCTTTCTTAGTCACTTTCCTGACGCTCAATGTCGATACAAACGTAATTTCAGTGGCTCTTGGATATACAGTTACAACTCCCATTTTTACACACAAGATCGGTTGGATCAAGGGGATATGTAACTAGCAGTAGGGGTTACACGGCAGCGGCTTAGTTACTTACATAGATGACGCGCAGACCCAATTTGCGTAGGAGTAGTGGTTGTGATGGATGGGGATCATGGCAAGCTAGTTCCATGGGTAGGTAACATCCCAGAGGGAAACACTAGCCTTGATTGGAAGTCTCAGTTAATGCTTTTTAATATCCCATCTTGACCGGGATCCGGTTATTACCCTAGCCATGACGCGTCCCAAGATGCATCCCCTATTCGTATTCCTAGGGCTTCTGTCCGAAAACGTTAGTCCTATCAAATATGTCAGTATTCAGCAGCCGCAGGTGCTGACGGTGAAAGTCCTCCCGCTACTGGGACGGCGAGAGAGTGCGTAAGTAATACTCACGTGAGATAGTATGGCCGGATCTTGATGTCTCGGACAGCCTTGCGCATCTCCATGACGAACAGTTGGACCTCCTCGTATTCCCATTTCATTATTTCGCGTAGCGTGAACAAGGCAAAGCCTTCTAAGCTCTCGCCCATAAATGCTAGGCTGTATGCGCCAATCGTCTTCAGCCTTCGGTCGCTACTCCAGGTACCACATGGCACTTGGTACGTCTTTTCTACAACGTTGACAAAGCCAGCCTCAGCCATGAGTTTGCGCTGGGTGCCGTCCATGCCTATGCGAAGTGCCCCGTTGATAATGTCTGTTACTTTCCAGAATACCTTTGCCTAGCGCTTGTAGATATGGTCGGGATCATCTTTAACCTCGGGAATGTCGCTATATAAGTGGATATTGATCTCCATATTCTCAATCCACCCGCCCGGTTGCAATGACCGGAAAGCCTGACGATACAGCTCGCCCCAATCACTGAAGGTACCGTAGAGGGCACGTATATGTACAAAGTCGAAGCTATCGGGGCGATATGTCCACTCCAGCTGCGCGTCTTCTATGTGGAACTGGCAGTTTGGAGGCACCCAAGCTGGCTGGATTGGGCTGATGTCGGTGCCAGTGATTTCGGCTGAGGATACTCCTCTGCCATGTCGATGGCCCATATACCTGTACCAGTACCTACGTCCAAGACCCTCGAAGGTCGAGTAACGGGCGCATCGAATAACCTGTCGTCCTTGAGCATAACCATGAAATGGTGTGCTATATCCAGGCCATTGTTCTGTCTATCGTCATTTGGACCCCAATATTCCGTCATTTTCGAGTTCTGAAACGTTCGGCCATGGAGGCTCCGGTAGTTGAAGATCCTTTCCGAAAGGGAGACCGTGGACGATGCGATACTACGTAACAGTAAGAACGCGTTCAATCTTGTAGACGCCGACACCAGGGACCATAGCTGACCTTCGATCGTCGTCGTATGTAGAATCGTGGTCGTCGGCATCGTCTTCGTTCTATTTAGTCGTTGGAGTTAACACGAAGAGTCGGCTAGAGTCTGACAATAGCAATGAAGACTTCATACATATGGGATCTGCGTATTCGTTGGATGTTGCCCCGCATCGATTGGAGGCAACGCGTCTTGTGGTGATGTAACCCTAAGGGTTTTAAAAAAGCCAGGCTTATTCCTTTATATTTAGAAAGTATTATAATAAAGCGTAATATATGGCTATAGACTTTATTATCTATTAAAACGGAAGCTAGCCTTTTGAACCCTTAAGTCTTAAAGACTCTAAAGATGGTTATTAAGGCTAGCTTTTAATTTAAATACCTTAAAATATAAATTAAAAGGCATTAAAGAAGCTCTTTAATATCTATTTTTAAGGATTTTAAGTTATTTTATAAAGAGATAAAGGCAATAATATATTAAAAAGTATTATTAAAGTGTAAAAATTAAATCCTTTAATGAGTAAATAAGACCCTTAATAAGCAGTATAAAGTAAAAAAAAACCTACCTATAAAATAAAGGGAAGATAACTATAAATAAGAAATAGAAAGTAATTAATTAGATAAATATATATATATAAGTATAGGCTAAATTATTAAGAAATAGTAATTAATGAGGGTTAGTATAACTAAAGAAAAGCCATTATAGAATGTATAGCAAGACTGGGTATAATAAAAGAATATATTAAATAGTTACTGTAATAACTAAGGAAGAGTACAGTAAATAAATTTAATTAATTAAATATCTTATTATGTTTTTATATTCAATTTAGTATTCAAGGTTGAGATTCTTAGGACACTCACTTATTACATACATTAGCGTAATCTACGGAGGACGAGGAGAGTTCAAGGTACATCTTTCTTATCTCTTGGCCTAAGAATCTGCTTTGATGCACCTCATTTCTTCGATCCAATTTTGGTTTAGCTCCCACCATTGCTTACTTACACTTTCACAGCCCCGAATGAGGCGGTGTTTTGCGGCTGTGCTGTAGCTGGCCTCATTAGCGGCTTGTTGGGCAGATGAGGCTGCAAAGCGCTCAGCTCATAAATACCTCGCCGCAGGTGCTCGGATTGGCACTTGCTTTCAACTTGAAGCTGATCGACTCATAATAGGTGCTCAATCCGCCTGTTGAAAAGATGGCCGAGGTCGGAACTTTGATCGCCATCGTCCAGCTCGCTGACAGAGTCGTTGGACTCTGCAGTTACTGGATTGAGGCAGTCCGAGATGCTCCTGCAACCCTCCGCTCTATTCTTCTGGAAACCTCGATGCTCCAGACAATCTTCAATCACATTGAATTCCTGACCAGCTGCGACAATACTGTATCAACCGCCTTCAGTAACCTCTCAAAGCCCGATGGCCCGCTTGAGCATTGCCACAGGATACTGGCAAGCTTGATCGACCTGTTTCCAGATGGAGATATTTACACGGCACGTATTACCTCCTCAACCAGAGAAAGGGTCACGGTGATGGCGGCAAGGCTAGCGTGGCCGTTCAAGGAACCTAAAGCTCGAAAACTACTTGAGGAAATGAGTCGGTACAAGGCGGCCATTACGTTGGCACTAACTGCTGAATCTACGTAAGTGGTCGATCTATGCCTCGACCCTAAGGACCAAGAGTCCTGGAGGTTGCTTCCTGGTGTTTTTAGTTGTTCGAGTCACGATAAGCTAATTCTATCTCGATTTAGTCAAGATATTAAGGACATCAAAGCGAAAGTAAGAGGGGTGTACGACATGTTGACTGGTAAGTACCTATGTGAGAACGGCATGTTGCCTGTAGTGCCCCGATGCCAGCGATGGCAACTCGCTACAGACAACTCATTACGGAAGTTTAGGTGGCACCGACTAACGGAACTCTAGAAAGTCAACGCAACGAATTTTGTCGATGGCTTCAGAGTACGGATCCGTCTCCTCTCCATAATCGATCTCGGAAACTGGTTGAAGACGGAACCTGCAACTGGATGCTGCGATTGCCCGAATGGGCCGATTGGGTCGCCGCAAAATACCGGTGTCTCTGGATACATGGGATCCCTGGTGCTGGGAAGACAGTGCTGGCGTCTTACTTGGTCGACACGGTTGCATCCCACTGCCAGGATGAGCTTGGGTCAAAGTGTGCTACCCTCTACTATTATTGTTATTTCGGTCATAACCAGGACGAAAGCGCCCCTTTGTTGCGATGGATAGTAACTCAGCTCTGCCGCCAGGCAGAAGCCGTCCCGGCTGAAGCCTATGCCGTCTTCAAACAGAGGTGTGAACCTAGTCTTCCGAAACTCCTTGATGCTCTGGCAACTATTCTTGATGGTTTCCAAACCGTCTTTGTCATTGTTGATGCCCTGGATGAGAGCAAGCCCCGAGGCGATCTACTCAAGACCCTCCGGGATCTAGCCACCGATCCGCGCTTTAGCAAAATCCAGCTCTTGGTCACGAGCCGTGAGTATATCGATATCGAGAGGGCGCTTGACGAGATATCTAAACGGGTATCGATGTCCAATTCTTTTATTGAACGGGATATACTTCTTTATGTTCGGTCGAACTTGCAAAAGAATACCAAATTTAGGCGCTGGAGTTCTCAACTGCTTGATGAGGTAGAGGCTATTCTGTCCACTCGAGCGAAAGGAATGTAAGTAAACCCAATACAGCTTCTAATCGATGCATATTTCTAAGGGGGTACTTCTGTTAGGTTCCGCTGGGCTGTTTGCCAACTCGATCGCCTCCAACGACTCAAGGGTGAACCTCGGATTATCAGACATGCTCTCGCAACGCTCCCAAGGACACTGGACGAAACATATGAAAGGATCTTCCTCGAAATTCCGGACGAGGAGCGGTCATTTGTACAACAGTGTTTGAGGTGGATTCATTTCCACGATCAGCAATACAATCATAACATCCCTTGCGCTATTCTTCTCCAGGCCCTCGAGTCAAGAAATCACAAACCACGAGAACCTAAAGATGAGTGCCCATATGACGAACAAGACCTCAAGGAACTCTGTGGTTGCCTGGTGCAGGTATCTCCAGGGTATGGCTTTAAGATTTTCGACCCCGGGAATCGATTGATACATGAAGCAATTCCGGTTGTTTCATTCGCCCACTACACCGTGCGCGAGTTTCTTGATTCAGATCGTATTTGTACCAGCCCTGTCGCCTTTTTCAAGCTTGAAAAGCAAATGCAGCTTGATATTCAACGGACGATCTTAATCACTGCGCTGGAATTCAGAGCATCTGACTTCGAAAATCTGGATCTGGAAGACGACCACAAGGACTTGAAAGATGACTACGAGGACCTAGATGACTACGAGGACCTAGATGACTACGAGGACCTAGATGACTACGAGGACCTAGAAGACAACCACAAGGACCTGGAAGAAGACAAGGACCTCACAGTCTACATTTTTCGCAGCTTAACGAACGATTTTCGCTCATATTGTGCTGTCTCAGCAATTTTCTCTCTATCCTCCCATCTAAGCGAGATCATTAGTCACCAGGACCTCAACGACCACCTGTTCGACATGCTCAATCCAGCAGGCGTTCACGCCGAACCAATTATGCGATTTCTAGAGCTCTGTCAAGAATCCATTCTTATAATCAGCGAAAATAACTCGTTCCATGAACTGTCCGGATTCGAATTTGCGTCAGTGCACTGGAGGTCTACTGATAAAGCTAGCCGGGCCCTCGAGTGTGCCATGTTTCTATTTTCCATTCTCATACTTGCAGAGAACTTCGAGCCGCTAGCGAAAGAATTTTTCCAGAAAATCGGGCAAAGCCTAGATTTTATACACACACCATTACAGTTTACAATATTGCTAACAGACACTGACGAAAACCCCATGTGGTGTGAGTTTGATGGGCGGATGGTTGAGTTTTTCGCCCAAGTACAGGGTGATGATGTCGGTGGAAAACGTCTCAAATTCATCCTAGATCAGGGAGCAACTCTACATAACCCTACAGCAGTACTGTACTCCTACGTTGGGAGACGTCGAGTTGGCCAAGACGATGAAGATCGATATCTCAGCGATCCGGCGCTGTTAAATCGTATATTGGAACTTGGCTGTGACCTGAATGGAGAGGGGTTCGCGGTAACGCCTTTGCAGATTGCTGTAGCAGCTTTCGACTTTGCTGAAGTTGAGACACTGCTCCGTGCAGGAGCGGATCCAAATAAGTTGGGAGACCCGGACGGCGTTCGGTGGTCTGGCATATTCAGTAACTTCGAACATTTAGAAGGCTTGAGTGCTCTCTCTATTTGCCAAGATGGATCTATAGAGGCACGCTTGGAAGATGAACAGAAGATGCTTGAGGTGCTCCTGATCCAGCATGGAGCTAAATCTTCTACTATAATGTAATTACTACTAAGCTCTAAAAGTGTAACAGTTAGGGTATTAAATAGGGAAACTAGTCTATACTAGGTTTATATTTACAGATAATATAAGGCATAATATTAAGTTTATAAAGTATTGTAAATAAAGAGGGCATAACTGTGTACTGTATTTAATCCTAATTAGGATAGAGACTATATTTAATTAGGTTAGTAGATTCTAAATTGTAGTAAACTGTATAGAAAAGTGGGTATAACTATAATAAACTGTAACTAGTCTTAAAAAGGCAATTATAGTAAAATTTAAATTCTATAAAATTAAGATTTACTTACTATAAGAGATAATATATTATATTTACTTATATAACGTGCTTAATAAGCAAGCCAGTTAAAAATCCCTTAATTTATAATATTTCTATTTAATTAAATACTTCTTAGCTATTAAATATATTATAACCTTTAAATAAAGTTAAAATCCTTTTTATATTTTAGGCCCTATCCTTAAATTTTAAATTATATTAAGTTAGTATTATAACTTAATACCATTCCTTTGCTCTTATAGTCTCAGACTATAACCAGCCTGTTATATTAGAAGCAGTACCCCCTCTGCTATAATAACCCTTTTAGCTATATTAAAAAGCCACTCTTTATATACATTTAAGTTACCTGTAAAGGCAGTAAGGAAGGCAGCCTGGTCTGATTTAAGAGGATAACCTTTCTTTAGGTCCCTCTTTAGGTCCTTTAGACCTAATAGCTTATTATTAACCCAGTTTAGATTAATTAAGCTAAGACGGCCTATATAATAGATTAACCTAATTAAATTATAATTAAAGATAGCTATTTTAATTAGGTTAAATTGGCACCTTAATAAGAAGTTCTTCCTAATGGCAGCTGCTATTATATAGACCTCTCTTAGTTCTTCCCTATTGGCTCCCTATAAGGCAGGCCCGATAGCTGCATTAAGGTTATAGCCGGTTATGCAGTAGGCCTAATCGTATGGCTGCAGGCTATTTCGTAGCATTATATTAGTGGCTATAATTAATATCAGCAGCTATAACCAACAGGTATAGAGAAAGTCAGGTCGGGAAACGTACTTATAAGTTCGCGCTTAATCTCTTACTTGGTTAGGGTCTAACTGACCTTTAAGTAGAAGTGTGATAGACTTGGCCTAGTATGTAAAAAGGTCGATCTAAGAGTATGTCTTGGAGAGGCTGGTAGTCTAGGGATAGGGTTAGATATAGGTAAGGGTTAAGAAATAGGCCAAAAGGCTAAAAGGGTAGGGTTATTATAATACATGCTATTTATACCTTAAGGTAGAAAACCGCTAGTATTAAATGTTTATAAACAGTAAATAGATCTACCTCCTGCTATATAAATAAGATAAGCCCTAAAGTTTTTAACCCTAAGGTATAAAGTAGAAGGTTATAGGGAAGATAGGGTATATATTATAATTATTATTATAATTTTTAACCTTAAGATATAAATAAATAGGTATTACCTTAAAGTATTAAGTATTAAGCATTAAGTAGTTATATAAATTAAGTTTTTATACCTATAAATATAAAATTTAGAGTTATTAAGTAAGGATTAAGGTAAGGCTATTAACTTCTATACTTTTCTATATTACTTATATTATTACTATATCTTAAAGTATTATAGGCATAAAACTATAGTAAGAGGTTTCTTTCTATAGAATATAGCTTTAACTCTATAAAAGATTAATAAAGATCCTAAAGGTAATAATAATATTATAATAATAATAAAGATAAATAGTAGAAATAGGCTAAAGATAATTAAATTATTATTATTAGTATTTTTAGCTATTTATATATTTACTAAAGTAAATATGCCTTAAAAAGAAGTAATTATAGAGGCAAGAGAGAAAGCTATTTATAATAGTATTAGGTTAGTTAGGGGAATAGATTTATTTATAAGTAATAAGGGATAACTTTAATCTACTATAATTTACTTATAGAAGTTAATTAATATTTAGGCTATTTTATATATAATTAATAATATTATATTAGTATTTTATTTATATAGGAAATAGAGGTATAGTAAACTATAAATATAATATATTAGCTTCTATATAATATAAAATAAAAGAGAAAAGGTAGTTTTACCTATTTAAGGTATAGATAAAAATAAAAGGGTAAAAGAAAATAAAATTATANTCTAACTTATAGTTAACTTTACCGGTAAGAAAGCCTAACTATAAAGCTAAGATAACAGTAAGGATATTACGATCAAACTTGGGAAAGCGCTTATGTTATATGCCCCCTATATATTCTTAACTAATAAGCAATCTAGTTACGTATACTTACTATATGATTACGGTGATTATCTATAGTTATTAGGTAATTAAAACACTTACTAGTAATTAAAGCTAATTATATAGTGATTATAATTACTAAATTGTAATTACTATTAGTATATAGACTATATTTATTAGTATTTAGATAGAATTTAGCTTATTAGCTATTAATAAAACTTCTTTATATTAATAAGCCTAATATATATTACTTAATTATTAAGAGATATAATACCTAAATTAAGTTTAGTATATATGCCTTATATTTTTATAAAATATAAAACCTAATATAGATTAGTTTCCTATTTAAAATTTATAACCGTTATATATTAATAGCTTTTATTTAATATATATTGCATATATATTAAGTAATAATATACTGTTAAAATATCTAGTAATGCTAGTACCTTAATACCTTTTTATACTAAAGTACCATCTAGTAATACTAAAATAGTAGCTAAAGTTTAGTAATTCTATAATACTATTAATATATTTTAAGTTTAGGTAAATATATAAATTATAACTAATAATGAAGGAGGCAATTATAAATATTATAGAAGGGACTTTAGAGAAGTATTTAAGCTGCCTAAGCTAGAACCCTTTAAAGGATAGGTAAGTAATGTAATTCTATTTCTTATCTAAATAAAAGGTTACTTTTAACTATTTTTAAATAGGCTAGATAGCCTAATTAAGAAACTACTATTTACTGCACTATTAATTTAAGGAGATGTTAAAGATTAGTTTAAACCTATTATGAGGGACTATCTTAAGAATAAAGAAAACCTATAGGATTAAGATACTTAGAATATTTTTGGAAATTAGGAAAACTTTAAATAAGTGCTTAAGGATAATTTTGGAGTAGTTAATGAAGAATGCTAGGCAGCAGCCGAATTGCTTATATTTAGATAATATAAGTTATATATAGCTTATTTAGTTAAGTTTTAATAGCTAGCCGCTAAGACTTAATAGGATGATAACTTATTTATAGAAATTTACTATTAAAGCCTAAAAGAAGAAGTTAAGGATGAATTATATCTAGCTAATAGGCTAGAAGACTTAATTATATATATTATTATAGCAATTAAAATTAATAAATAATAATATAAATGCAGGAGAGAGAGAGTAAATTATAAAAGGGGAAATAACTTTAACCTCTATTACCTTAATTAGTAATGAAATAATAATAATTAAGGTAGCTCTTAAAATTAATAACAGTAATAAGGAAATTAGTAAAATGATATTTTATATGGATTTTATAAAGGACTAATAACTCTAGAAGTTACCTAATTGAATAATAGAAATTACAGACTATGCAATATATTTAAATATAAGTGTTATAACTGCAATTAATTTGGATATATGGCACGATAATGTCTATAGCCTAAGAGGCTATAAGACCTAAATTACGGTAAGTAAATATTAGGACTAATAAAATAGCTAGAACTATAGATAGCTATATATACCTAAATATTAGGAATAATATAAAGCGGATATAATAGATAATTTAATAAAAAATAAAGAGAATAAAGAAAAGAAATAAACTAATAAAAACTTAAAGAACTTAAGAAATAATTATATATAGAGAACTTATAAATACTAGGAGTTATTAGGGAAGGAAAGGCTATTATCTTTAATATAGAAGAATTAGGCTAGTTATTTAAACTAATTAATAATATCCCTATTAAAATAATACTCTAGAATAAAGAGGAATATTAGGTATAGAAAGTTAAGGCAAGAAACTAATTCCAATAAAAGAAATAATAAAGTTCCTGCAGTATAGGATATAGAGGTAAGTATACCAGAATAACTGCTTAATATTTCTATTACTAAGATAAATAGATCTTATAGAAATAGAAATAACCTTATAAGAAAAAGATTAATAAAAACAGCTTAAGGATTTATAACTTAAAAGAAGATATCTATATATAAAGAGCTAGGGAGTATTAAGATATAGAAATAAGAAGTAAGGTTTATATTAAAGCATATTA